TTGGCCTGGCCTGTCTGCCCAGCCCGGAAAGGGCCAATGCCACGCCTCACGTCTCTTTCAGAGCCCTGCCTTGAGATGTGAGCTTAGTACTTTGCATGCAAAACGCACCAATAACAGAGTTTATTTCCAAGATCAAAGCATCAGGGACCCAAGGACATTCCCCAGCTCCAGGGCCCGCCAGAAGCCAACACCCTGCCTGCAACTGATCCTTTCAGTCCTTTATGGCAATCATCTGACCTCTCCCTAGCTGGCCCCAGGCTGCCTGGCCCTGTTATGGCTGCATTATTATTGTCTGCACTGTGGTAGTTCTGACTTGCTGCAGGCACAGACCAGGTCTTCATTGTGCTGGGAACTGGGCAGACAGAACTGAAGGCAAATCCTGCTCCAGAGAATGTGCCATCCCAGTACTGGGTAGGTTCCAGCAACGTGCACTGTCAATATCAAAGGCCATGATTTCTCTGGACATTCTCGACATTCTAGAACACAGGAAGATTCCAGCCCTGCACAGAGCCAGGCTTCAGTCCTGCAACCCTCCACGGACTTGTTTATCTTAGTCCTGCAAGTGGCACCGTGGGCTTCGATGCATTTCCAATTCAGCACGTGCGCGTTTGCAAGATCGGGCCTTGAGAGCCTCTGGAATCGGGCCTCTGCCATGGGGCCTGCACTTCCCACAATGCAGCTCCCGTGGCAGGCCTGCACCACGTGGGCCAGGGGAGTTCTTCCTTGGCCCACCTGGGTGAGTTTTAGCCTTACCGAAGTTATCCTGGTCCCAGGTGTAGGTGTAGCATCGAGCAACGGGGATGGGCACCGTGTGCAGTTTATGCGACTGGGCCACCCCTGAGAGGGGAGAAGAGCAAGTGGCAAGTTAGGAACATTGGGTGGAAAGGTGCCTCTGGCACCACTGAGTCCACTTCCCCGGCTACCACAGAGCCCCACCACAGAATCCCATTCATAAATTCAACAAGCTCCACCCCCAAACCACTTAGATCATTCACCGCCCTTCCACGGAACCTCCCTCCTCTGATGGTGAGAAACTGTCTTTCATTTCCAGCCAAAATGTATCCATGGCCAGTTTAAATGAGCACCGGTGAGCGGCGAACAATTCTAACAGCCGGGGAGAAATGTGAAGAGAGGAGGGAGCAGTGAATTCTCATTAGCTCCTCCCACAAACTGAGCTCCACCCATTTAGCACGACAGCGCGAGAATCTTCCCGCCACAGACGGTGCCAGTATTAAACCAAACCGCCTCTGCCAAGCTCAGCAGGGCTCCTTGGACTCTGTGCCCCTCAGTGGGGCTGGGATGCCGTTTTGTGCTCCAGTCCACCTCTCTGGCTTGCTGGGTCCAGAGATCAGGTTGGAATACAGATGTAGCTCTCCAACAGGGATGCTAAAAAGCGGGTAATTAGGCAACCATGTAACTGCTAAAATTCTTAGTGGCTACATGCTGCTGACTCTGCTGTAAATAAAGCTTATACTGCAGAGCCTGCAATTTGAGGGAGCAGCCGGCTTCCTAGGAGCCGAAAGCCAGCTTTCTAGCCGGTTCCCAGCACATGCTGGTTCCCACCTTCTGGCCTGCTCCTGGGGAACCTGCTGCTGCCTCTGATACAGAGGCAGCAGCGTAGGGTGGCAGCTGGCTCCCCAGGAGTAGGGCTGGGAGCTGGCCTGTAACTGTTATGGTAACTGATAAGCTTATGCTTATACGGTTACACTTTTACATCCCTACTCCCCAACTCCACCCACAACCCATGCTACGCTCAGTCATGACACCATGCAGGGTCACTGCTCACAGCTGATCGCACAGACCGTCACCCTATAGTCAGCCATTCTCTCGTGCATGCTTTCAGCAGCTGTGAGAAAGTTCACAAGCGGATGTTTAAAGCGTTCTGTGCCAGGCATCAGCACTGACGCTCTGAGATGAATGGGGCAGTTCAGAGCTCCCAGGCAGCCTGCAGTCCCGGGCAGATGTCACCGTTACAATCGGTCTGGAGTCTGAATGTTTCCTCCCTAACCATTAAGGGCTGGAGACATTTTTAAAAATAAACGTTGAGATTCTGCAGCAGAAAAAGAAACAAGCACGAAAACAAACCCAGATCGGCGTGACGGAGCGAGCCACATCAGGGTATTTTTGTTCTACCTTTGAAACAGTCTGACCGAGGATTTCATACTTTGCAGCGTTCACTCCTAATCTCTCAGGACAGAGCAGCTAACGAACATGCAGAGCGCCGGAGAGACACCCGGCACATCACACAGAACAGCCCCCCGGCTCCCCTACCTGTGATCTTCGGGAAGCCTGCCGCTGCCCCGATGTCCCGCAGCATGCACTGCAGCTGCTCCCTGGCTGCCACAGGGTCGCTGGTAACAGCTGCCAGCTCCTGAGCTTCTGTGCTGCGAGAATGGATCTCCGAGAGCTCCTCCACCGTCTTGGACTAGAGAGAGCAGAGAGATTCAGAGCCAGCTTGGCAACATGCGGGTCTCTCACCAGCAAGCAGAACCCACCGCGTCTAGACAGACTCCTAGCCAGAGACAGGAGAATCCGCCTTCTGGCCCCTAGGGAAGCTTTTTGGGGGAAATGTCTTAATTGCATTCGAACAATTAAGGGGGAGGGGAATTCAAACCCCTTTTTGAAGAAAATGGGAATTTTTGTTTACTTAGAATTTTAGGACTCTTCACTCCCTTCCCCTCCTATTTGCCTTTTGCCATCTTTTCCCCCCAACAGGTTAAAAGAATGAGAAGGCCAGGCAAGGCAAGGTGAAGGAGCAAAGTAGTGAGAAAAAATGGGACTTTCCGCCCACACTTTCACAAAAAAAGTCCCCCAAAGTATTTTTAAATGTTTTATTCCAAATGTCATTAAACAAAAAATAAAGTGACAATTTCCCCATGAGAAATCATTGCTGAAACCCTGGGATTGCCATAAAAAAGGATTTGACTGACACCACCAGCCCTGCTCATCATGATTTCCCACAGTGGCGTTGTAAACTCGTGGGAATGAGCAATAGCTCCACCTTCTGAATTGCGCTGCGGCAAGATCTCACGTCCCTCGTGCAACTCACCAGACAACGGACATTCCTAGAAGGTCTGTGCAACCAAACCCACCCCTGCACACAAGGGTCACTTGCCCCACGTGGAAATGCAGCCATCTCTGGGGAGGCGGAGACCACTGCTTAACAGCCCACAGAAAAATCGCCCTGGGTGGCGGGGACAGGATTGCTGTGCTGCTGTTTAAGGCCCGCCCTGCGGGATGCGGCACTCACGCTACCTTCAGGATGTGCTTTAAGCTGTCCATGTCGCACTGGGTCCCAAAGGCGGCCTGGTAGATGTGTCCGATGAGCACGAGGAAGGTGTTGTGCTGCGGGTGCTCCCTGGTGCTCAGCTTCTTGGCGACGGAAAGGTATTCGCTCTGCACCTCCGAGGGGTTGAGCAGCAGGACCGTGCTACGGGCAACACGGGAGGGGGTTAGTGAGCCTAGAGAAAATCAACTTGCTGCAGCTCCAGGGCTACACAGACAGCACCTGCCATGGGCCCAGCCATAAGAAGTAAGAGGCGCCCTGCTAGCACCATGGTGTTCGATCCATTCCAAACTATCCCTCAGGCACCCACCAGATGGCAAAATCCTTCCACGTAACAGGAACAAGGAGTCTGGGAGAAACCTGGCACCGTGCCCCGTTCGCCGTGCACACACGGGCCTGCCACGCTCTCCCCTCCGCGCACACGTGTTCCGACAGCCACGGGATCGCCAGACCAGCTTTGCTTGGCTAGCGCTTGGCAGACGGGCCCCAGCGCGCTGGCCCCAGGCTGCCCATCCGCACAAGCTGCCCACGGCGCCAGGCAGCAGGTGGCCACAACGCAGGAAGTTTGTGTAGCCCATGGCCCGAAGCTGGAACATTGTGACTACACAAAGCACTGTGGCCCTTCCAGGCGACAGACGCAGGCTCCCTGCCCCAGAGTGCCTGCCGTCTCCTGGGGACGGATCACAGGCCACGGGGGGAGGACTGAAGGGACAATGGAGTAAGAGAAGGGAAGCAAAACTGGCCTTGGGAGAACATCTTGGACATTGGGATTGGCTACCAGTACTGGCAGCTGAACCCTGCTTTGCGGGACCAGGGGCTCAGCAGACCCACAGGCTCTGGCAATGGGCACAGGCTGTGTATAATGCCCAGGCCTGGTCAATACACAGATGTTGCTCTGGTCTCTACCAGTTACCTTTGTTGTTAGGGGGGAGGGGGTGATTTTATTTTTTACCAATACAGTTTTACTGGCACGGCTCCTAGCGTGCCTGTGGTTACACCGGCATTAATACACCTAATACCAGTATAATTTCGTCCCTTTCCCAGACAATGTTAGCTAGCCTGATATAAAACAAATTTATTCTTCTTCCACTGCAGCCTTCCTGGAGGCATGGTGTTGTATTGCCTTAACCACACTGGCGTATTTCAAGCAGCGCAGCTTGCGTGCCGACATGCCGGGACTCCAAAACGCAGCCAGTAGACACACGAGCGGCCCCGCCGTGGCTGGGCCAGTGGCTGTGGCTAATACCCAGGTAGGGAGAGAAAAGGGCTGTGCTCAGATGTTCGTATTTACAGGGGAGGTGACAGCGCCAGGAGGGAGGGATTGGAGGCCCAGACGAGCCCCCACTGCATTCCCCGTCTCGGTCACACACTGACGACTACGTGCTGCCTTGGTCATTTGTCAAGAGACGGCGCTTTCACGGCTCTCGTAGGCATCCTGCCAAACTTGCGGCCCCGGACGGGGCGAAGCCGTTCCGGGCGAGTGCCACAGAGCAGCCCCTATTTTCCTACCCTGTTCTCATCAAGCCCACGCATGTCCTCCTTTGGGGCAACAGCGAACACTGGCCCCCCGAGAACCGCAGGGAGCCCAGACCCACCAGGGGACGCTGAAATTCCCACGTCATCCACATGCCTCATCCTTTAGTGCTGCCCCCACCCCGACCCCCCCCCCAGCCATGGCTCCGGCTAACGGCCGCCTGCTCGGCTCAGCACCTGCTCAGGGATTACGAGCATTTGGGAAGGCGCAGTGACGGCTCCAGGGAGACCTGCTGCCAGACCGCACGGAGCAGCCCCATCCAACCCCCTGGCCACGGCACTCACATGGTGGCGCTCTGGTTGCTCTTCCCGGACAGTCCCTGCTCCGCCCTCACCAGCCGCTGGTACGAAATCCCTGTGGGGAGAGAGAAGCGAGTCACGAGGGCAGCACGTGGGGCACGTGGGCGTGAGAGAAGCTGGGAAACGCTGGTGTCAGGCGTGCACAAGCCACGGCTTTTTCACACGTGCGGAACTGGCTGAGGGACAGAGCAGGAAGGAGCCTTTTCACACACAGTCGCTGCCCGGAGGGGCCTCCGCCAGACCCGGCCCAACAGGCCTCCCCCTCTCAGAGGCTCACGCAGCGTTGGGGGGCTGGATGAAAGGGGCCCACTTCTGAACCAGCCCCAGTTCTGGCACTGCGGCGTGGCAGCCCAGTGCTAGGAGGCCTCGCCGTTCCAGAGGCCAAGCCCAGCCAAAGGGGAGGGCAAGACACCCCAGGAAGGGGGGGGCAGCCAGCACTCCCTGCGCAGCTGAAGCCGAGAGGGGCGGGACCACTGGAGCTGGCAGCCAATGGTCGATGGGCCTAAGCTGTTTGCTTTGACCTAAGTCCATAGAGCAGACCAGGCCAACCCCAGCCACCGGACTGCTGCATCGTGCAGCTGCTGGGGAGGGTTGAGCGCGCCCCCCCTCCCTCCGCTGGCTGGGCCTCTCTCTGTGCACTGCTCCGAGTGTCATCCCCAAACCCACGCGGGTGCGCAGGCAGCTTTGAGTTGGGATGCGTTCCCCTCGGGTTTCTCTATCCTTTTGCTCCCCTGGAACGCACCTTCCCCTCACCCCTCCAGGTCTCTCTTGCCCTTCACTTAACACCCTGCTGACTCCCCGCACTGGCTGGAGAGTCTTTGCTGATGCTGGTAATTGGCTGATAATTAGCCTGCCGCTAATTCCAGCAGAAACTGGATCCCCAGCTCAGATCACGGTTAAGGAGCCCACGGCACGTCTCCCCACCCCCGCCCTCCCAGCTCTGTACTGCCCGGCCTCCTCTAGGCCCGTCTGCGCGAGGGCACAGGGCGTTAGCAACGACGGACGCCCACCTACAGAGCCCAGGCCAGGACACCTGCGATGGCAGCATTGCCCAGTGGTTGCAGCAGAGGCAGACAGGAGTTCTTCTGCCGGCACTCGCCACACCGCGTCCCCAAACAACATGAGCTAACCCGACAGACACACTCTTCTGTCCCCATCGCTGCATCGATGGTCGGAGACCGGCCGGGCGGGGGGCGGGGGGGGGGGGGGGGATTTATACATAGCTCTGCCAGGAACACGTGGACGTGCAGACAAAGGCTGTGGTCACACCCCATGTGATATGCCCTCAGCCCCGGAGTGACATAAGGGGTCATGTGCACAGTCGGTGGAGAGTTTCTCCGGCCGACACCCCTTCCGCCGCTCGGGCGTGTGCGGTTTCAACCCAGTGAGAGGAGCGCTCTCAGCAGCCGGCGGTGACACGGGCGATCCGACAGCGGCACAGCTGCATCACCGCCGCAGTTCCTCACACAGGTTTTCAACAGCACGTCCCCCAACCCTGCTTGGTGCTCCCGGAATTCTGCGTCAGCAATCCCACAGCACCGAGGGGCGACATGGGGATTAATCAGACGTGAAACGAGCGTGAAATTCTCCAGTCTCCAATTATCCACACTGACAAATTAAAATGATTCTCTGCATCCACCCTAATGCACAAGAATCTTCTGAAATGACCTCTTCTTTTAATTGGACTAGCTGCTTCATTGGAATCAACATCCGAGCAGCCAGACGGGTCAGACCAAAGGTCCGTCCAGCCCAGTGTCCTGTCGGCCAACAGTGGCCAATGCCAAGCACCCCAAAGGGAATGAACAAAACAGGGAATCATCACGTGATCCCTCCCCAGTCACCCAGTCCCAGCTAGGGACACCATCCCTGCCCATCCTGGCTAATAGCCATTAATGGACCTAACCACCATGAATCTATCGAGCTCTGTTTTGAACCTAGTTAAAGCCCTGGTCTTCACAACATCCTCTGGCATGGAGTTCCGCAGGTTTATTGTGCATGGTTTGAAGAAATACTTCCTTTTGTTTGTTTTAAACCTGCTGCCTATTAATTTCATGTGGTGACCCTAGTTCTTGTGTTATGGAAACAAGTAAATAACTTTCCTTATTCACTTTCTCCACACCACTCATGATTTTATAGATCTTCATCATATCCCCCTTAGTCTCCTCTTTTCTAAGCTGAAAAATCCCATTCTTTTTTTCTCTCTCTTCATGTGTCAGCTTTTCCAAACCCCTAATCATGTTCGTTGACCTTTTCTGAACCCTTTCCAATGTCAATATATATTTTTTTTTGAGATGAGGTGACCACATCTGTATGCAGTATTCAAGATGTGGGTGTACCATGGTTTTATACAAAGGCAATAAGATATTTTCTGTCTTATTCACTATCCCTTCCGTAATGATTCCCAACACAACATCCTGTTTGCTTTTTTGACTGCCGCTGCACGCTGAGTGGATGTTTTCAGAGGACTATCCACAATGACTCCAAGATCTCTCTCGAGTAGTTGTAGCTAAATTAGTCCCCATCATTGTGTATGTAGAGCTGGGATTATGTTTTCCAATGTGCGTTACTTTGCATTTATCAGCATTAAAATTCATTTGCCATTTTGTTGTCCAGTCACTTAGTTTGGCGAGATCCTTTTAAGCTCAGCTGCTTTGCTCTTAACTGTCTTGAGCAGTTCAGTATCATCTGCAAATTTTACCACCTCACCGCCACCATCCACCATCACATCCTAATTAAGAAGACCCTGCTGCATAACGACAGATATGAGGACATGCTACAGGTCTCGGCAGTAGCTGGGCTCAAAGACCAGGTACACGGAGACAGTCCCTCAGCCACAAAGAAGTGCCCAGGAGTTCCAGGGTACTGTATGAAAATTTTTTACAAAGTAGCACACTCCAAGGTGAACGCTGCCATGATGGGAATGAATGGCCTCGTTGTCATAACCAAATTACACCCCTGAGTCACCTTCCTTCTCCAAGCAAAGGTCAGAGCTAGCTGGAATGGCAGCAGAGAGCAACCACCACTGGTTTGCCATGCAAAAGATACCCCCAGAACAAAGAGGCTGCAGTAGAAACGTTCATAAGAACATAAGAACGGCCATACTGGGTCAGACCAAAGGTCCATCGAGCCCAGTATCCTGTCTGCCGACAGTGGCCAGCACCAGGTGCCCCAGAGAGGGTGGACCGAAGACAGTGATCAAGCGATTTGTCTCCTGCCATCCCTCTCCAGCCTCTGACAAACAGAGGCCAAGGACACCATTTTATCCCCCGGCTAATAGCCTTTTATGGACCTAACCTCCATGAAATTATCTAGTTTCTCTTTAAACTCTGTTATAGTCCTAGCCTTCACAGCCTCCTCTGGCAAGGAGTTCCACAGGTTGACTACATGCTGTGTGAAGAAGAACTTTCTTTTATTACAAAATACAGGACTATGTAGCACTTTAAAGACTAACAAGATGGTTTATTAGATGATGAGCTTTTGTGGGCCAGACCCACTTCCTCAGATCAAATAGTGGAAGAAAATAGTCACAGCCATATATACCAAAGGATACAATTTAAAAAAATGAACACATATGAAAAGGACAAATCACATTTCAGAACAGAAGCCTCCTGTTCTGAAATGTGATTTGTCCTTTTCATATGTGTTCATTTTTTTTAATTGTATCCTTTGGTATATATGGTTGTGACTATTTTCTTCCACTATTTGATCTGAGGAAGTGGGTCTGGCCCAGGAAAGCTCATCACCTAATAAACCATCTTGTTAGTCTTTAAAGTGCTACATTGTCCTGTATTTTGTTTCAGCTACACCAGACTAACACGGCTACATTTCTATCACATTTCTTTTATTAGTTTTAAGCCTGCTACCCATTCATTTCATTTGGTGTCCTCTAGTTCTTCTATTTAGGGAACTAATAAATAACTTTTCTTTATCGGCCCTCTCCACACCACTCATGATTTTATAGACCTCTATCATATCCCCCCTCATCCGCTTCCTTAATCCACCAAGATCAGCATGTCCATCTGAATGTAACGTGCATGGAGACACGTGCAGTGCTATGCCACATGGTTCCCCTACATGACAATATGAAAGCTACACGCGTGTCCTTGGAAACCTGACCCTCCGTTCACCTTTCCCCCTCTGAAGGAGAGCTGGCTTCCAACCCACGTCAGGGCACCCATAGAATGTGTTCAGCAGTCTCAGCCAGCTCCTCCCACATGACAAATCCCATTTACAGTCCTATCGGAAATCACGGCAACAAGTGGAGCTGGAGGTTGCTGTACAGCTGCTGGCCCTGGGCTTTGTGTGATTTGTGTAAACACAACGCGTGTGTGAGAGCAACACGGGGAGTTTCAGAGAGACCTCTGGGCTTTCCGGCGTGACATGAAGAGCCGTCCAAATCCTAGACTCAGACCCTCTGAGGCTTCACTGGAGGCACCCAGCACCACAAAGCTGAAGAGTCAGAGAGGTCTGTAAAACGAGGGACTGTTTGAATCCCTACCTGGGGCCTTGAGTTCATTGCTGATGAAGGTCAGCAGCTCCCGGTAGATGTTGCAGTAGGGCACCGGCCAGGTGAGGAAGCTGTGGTAGATGCTAATGGCCTTCTGCAGCAGGTCTGAGTCTGGTGGGAAGTGAGGAGTCTATAGGGGAAAGAGAAGTAGTGTGAAGATTACAGTCCAAGGCGGGCCAAGGTTTTTAAGTCTTGGCTTGACAGGGCCCTGGCCGGGTTGATTTAGTTGGGTTGGTCCCACTTTGGGCAGGGGGCTGGACTTGATGACTCCTGAGGTCTCTTCCAGCTCTATGATTCTAAGGAGAGAAGTATGGAGGCCTGTCCCTCCTCTTCGGCCTTGTCCCCCGACAACTTTCAGGCAGAGTCAGATCTTCCTAGGCCCCAAAGCAGGCTCACAAACAGCTGTTCGATAGCCCACTTGGAAGAGGAGGGTTCTGTGGCCATTAGCATCATGGGAAAGCAGGGCTGGGGCGAAAAGGAAAAGCCCCTCTGAGACTAGATCCAAGCAGAGGCCAGACAAGCCAGCCCCTGACTGTAGCCAGCACTGAGTGCTTCTGGGGAAGGTTCAACAAGCCCTTCTCTGGACAACTCCATCATAACCTGCCCGCAGGGCGGTTTCTCCCTCAGCTGCATCCCGTAGTGGCTTACGCGCTACAGCAGGAGTGTTCCTCTCACTAAAGAAAACACATTCAAAGCAAGCAGGGATGTTCCGGGCCCATTAGACGCCCCACCCTGGTATGAATCCTGCTTAGCTCCTGGGAACACCCAGGCTACCCATGCCGGAGGGCAGAGGCTGGGGGAACAGCAGTGGCATAACACACTCTGCCGGAGGCTTCCCCCACCACTCCCACAGCAGCGGGGGGCAGTGCCGGGGAGCGGTGGGGGACGTAGAGCGCTGGGTAAGCACCCTACAGCCACCCCCTTATGCCTTCCCTGGCCAGGGCTGCCAATTAAAGATGAGCCCGTTCATCTCCCTGCATCAGGTTTAAATGTGTTTGTTGCCTTTTGGTTCCATTAGAAGTTCCCTTGGGTTTTGTATCATGAGAAAGCCACCATCTAGACACACGCTATTTTGTACACACGCCTATTGCAACCCCTCTCAAAACATAATTGGACCCAAACTTTTCCGTCTCGCTGGCCTATGACTGGAGCATGTTCGGGATCCCTTTCCGCCTCTGCTAGATCTCTCTCGAGATGGGAAGAGCAGTGCCGAGCGCAGCCCTTCTGGGGAGGGTGTCTCAAAAGTATCACGGGGTTAAAAAACAACAGTGATTGGTCCTGGGGCACCTTAGAGGCTAACACAGATATGTAGAGTCATGAGCTCTTGTGGGTTAGACCCACTTCATGAGATGAGCTGGAGCGGCGCTAACAGATCCAAGCTATAGATAACAGCAAAAGCAGTACCTGTCAATTGCAGGTTAAAAAAAGAATTAGGTAAGTTCCTGGAGAACAGGCCCATCAATGGCCATTGGCCAAGCCGGTCGGGGATGTATCCCCATGCTCAGGGCAACCCTAAGCCTCTGGCTGCCAGAAGCCAGGGGAAGACGCCAGAGCGGATTTATCCAAGTACCAATTCTGTATACTCCGCTGAAGCCCTGGGATTGGCCACTTGTCGGAGGCAGCAACCAATGCCAGGACTTCAGGGAGTCTCGCTGTACACAGCAGGCAGCTCTCAGGCCTGAGGCAAGGAGGTTACACTGCGTTCAGCGAGGGCCATGCTCCGATCCCCAGCCTGGCCTGGAGGTGGAAGCTGCACTTGGTTAGGCATGTGAGGACTTACACACAGAACTGCAGAGTAGAAGAGCAGAGCCAAGGGGGTGAGGAGGTCGTAGTTGCACGTCTCTTGCACCTGCCGGAAATACACAGGAGAAGAGGAGGATCAGTTGTGCTCCATGGTGACCCCAAAGCTAACAGGAGGCAGAGGCCGCATGGCAGAAACCACCTGATCCCAAGAACTGCTGAGAGAGGGACCTGTCCAGCACCCCACTCAGATGTAGGTTGTATTCGCGGGAGCAGACGTTCTACCCACAGGTCACCAGCAGTTTGCCCATCACCCAGAACACTTCGATTATAGCGCTACGTGCCCGTCTCCTTCATCTACTTCTGTACGTGCCCCTGGGAGTTTCCTACAGGTAACTAGTCTGCATTTGGCTGAATTATCCGGCGAATGCTAGGACCACGGAACGTCGTGTACCTAGGCGTGTCTACACTGAAAATGCTCCAGCAGCATAGCGGCACCAGTGTAGACATTACCTAGGCCCAAAAGAGGGGTTCTCCCCCACCCGCCAGAGGCGGTAGCTGGGTTGATGTAGCATGCTCTGCACAGGGGATAAGGTCAGTATTTGACACCACTCGGGATGGATTTTTCACACCCTGAGCGACATAGCTATACCGATATAGGGTAGGCCAGGGCTTAGGTTAGGTTGTGTCTGCACTGGGGCTTAGCTTGGTGTACCTATGTCTGTCAGGAAAGTAGCTTTTTCACACTCCTAATCAAAGCAGCGATGACAACCTAGCATTGTGAGTGCAGACCAGGCCACCGGCTCAGCACACCCAAAAACTGTCTACACTGGGAAAGTGAGGAGCATTCGCAAACGTGTTAACTACAGTCTGTAAATCAGCACTGTGTTAGAGTCTACTTAGCACCCAGCATGGGCAAAGATAGTTCTGTTTAAAAACGTGCATTAGCTGGTCACTTCCAGATTTCCTCTCGGAGAAATGAGCGTGAGAGTGAACAATGGAAAAATGCGTTTGCAACTATTCAAATTCAAAACTGGATTTTAGATTCAGCCAAGTTGGTGACCCTTTGTGTTTTCTGAGCGACTGAACTTTGCTCACGCTTGTCACGTTTGCTGCACACTGAATGTAAATTCTGCAACCAGATAACAGAAACACCAGTTGACTTGTGTCACTAGGCAACACAAAGCGAATTGCAAAAATTTGCAACAAACTAATTATGGAGAATCTGCAGACCAAGAATTATTCACTAAGGAAATTCACCGATAATTATGGATTCATACAGCACTAGCATGAGTTGTTCCTGAAGAGCTGGCGAAAAGGGAGCAAAGAGCAAAAATAAACAACAATCAGCTTCTTAGTTGCCATATTGCCCGCCCCAGCCAATTAATATCATGAATCAAGGCCTAAAAAGAGATTTTTTTAAAAATTGATTCATTTCAACTCTTCTTCTGGTGCGAGTCTTTAGTGGAGGTGCCTTGGGGTCACATTTTTCAGCTTTTCTCCTTAACTAAGAAGGCTGGAAACGCTTTACAAAAACAAAAGCAGAGTCTCACTCACGCACATGAATCCGGGAGCTGGGGTTTTCGGGAAACCATCGAATACAGCCAGACTCCGGATCACACTGTGCGTGTGGACAACACAGCAGATGTGAATTATTTGCGAACTTGTGCTCCAGAGTCGCCAGCGCCAGCCAGGCTAAGCTGGGAGAGCCGATGGCCTCCTGGCAGAAGACGGACTTGTGGAAGGTTAATAGTTCAGCACCTCTGACCTTTCGCTTTCCATGCTGGGCTGGACGTTGCAAACCGAGCAGCCTGCTGCTTGCTACAGCCGCTCGCGTGGCTCAGTCCCGACGTTCCCAATAGACGTTTGGTTACAAAGCAAACCAGAACAGCCCAGGCAAGCCTGCCACACAAATAGCAGGAAGCCATCAATTCCCTCTGAATTGGACGGGCAAGACCACAAAAGGAACGCTTGCAACAAGGGAGGGTCTCAGGAAGCCAAGTCTCATAAATCCTGCTGCGCCTAACCAACGGCGGCCCTGCCCCTAGAAACATGCCTGCCCTGGGCTCCTGGAACCGTATGACTGGGATCTCCCTTCCCTGGCTTCCCCCCCACACAATGGCCGGCACACAATGGAGAATGAGCCTGGAATCCGGGCTGCTCCCCCAGTGCACAGGCGGGCGGGCGGGCGCTATTGTGGGCCTGGAGGTCATGCACATTGCAGCACATCAGGAAATAGGAAACCTCTCCTTGCGTCTCGTGATGCTATTCAGCGTGCAGCTGTTCGGGCGTGCGCTCCTTCCCAGTGCACCACCACATCCCTTTTCTCTGCTCTCCCCCCTGCCAGATGCTGCTCTCCGGAGCTCTAACCCTGGGGCAGACGCTCAGTCATGTGCTGCTCCACGATCTGCTGAATCCTGCAAAATTCAAAGCCTGTCGGGCCCAGGGGCTGAGACCGTTGCAAGCTGCCTGGAGCGGGGCGAGCTGGACGGGGCCAACGGACAGCAAGTCAGGTTCATGTCTGGGGTGTGCACAGCGCTGGGCGTCGGAGGCGCTGAGAGAGAAGACGGGCAAACCGCCAGCAAGCCTGCCGGCCAGACACCAGTTTCTCTTGCCCTGGGCACAAAGCGCTGACTTCTCCAGCTCAAGGGTTTCCTCATAAGAACACAGGAACGGCTATTCTGGGTCAGACCAAAGGTCCATCCAGCCCAGTGTCCTGTCTGCCCACAGTGACCAACGCCAGGTGCCCCAGAGGGAGTGAACCGAACAGGGAATGATCAAGCGATTTCTCTCCTGCCAGTCATCTCCACCCTCTGACAAATTGAGGCTAGGAACACCTTCCTACCCATACTGGCTAGTGGCCATTAATGGACTTAACTTCCACGAATTAGTCTAGTTCTCTTTTAAACCCTGTTATAGTTCTACCCTTCACAATCTCCTCAGGCAAGGAGTTCCACAGATTGACTATGCACTGTGTGAAAAATTTCTTTTTATTTGTTTTAAACCTGCTGCCCATTAATTTCTTTTGGTGACCCCTAGTTCTTATATTATGGGAACAAGTAAATCACAGTTCCTTATTCGCTTTCTCCACACCACTTGTGATTTTACAGACCTCTATTATATCCCCCCTTCATCTCCTCTTTTCCAAGCTGAAAAGTCCTAGTCTCCTTGGACAGCAAGAGATCTTGCTGGGAGGGCTCCTGGGGAAATGAATCAGGCTGAGCTACCAGCCCCAGTCCTCCCAGCGCCCAAGCACCGATGCCCTGTCCACGCTCCCGCGACGCTGTTTAGAATCTGGTAGCACACTTGGGTTCAGGCACTCGGCGCAGTCCTCAGGTAGAGATGGGGCAACTCCCTCTGCTTGGGCGGATGACTTGCTGGAATTGACACAAGAGCTGCCTATCAGCGAGCAGCCTACACTGCAATAGAACTGGTGGTTTGACTTATTGGCCAAGCAATTCCTGCCCGTAATTCTTAATCTAGTCAGAGAGTTTCAGGCCAGGCGGGATGGACCGGATCAGCTGCTTCGATCTCCTGCATATCGCAGGCTGCCAACCCCACCTGCACCCGCACGCTGTGCCTGACCAATGGAGTTACCACCCACGGGAGACGGGACCGTGATGTGCCACAGGGAGAGGGCAGAAGGGGCTGAGGTGCACCATGCCCGAGGCCCCCCACAACGGCAGGGAAACAATTCAGACACACACAGAATCCCTGGCACGTGGCACTCGCATGCTGCCGTGGATGGCAAAACCCACCCAGATCCCTTTGTCACCAGTCAGTTTTTATTCTGCCTTCCACTCTGCAGCCACTTTGCTCCTGAGCACCGCTCGGAGGCCCCACCGCGGGTGCGCGATCCATTTGATTCCAGCTGTGCCGGTGAAGTCTGACTGTGCACAATGCAAGTCCCGTGGTAGGACCTTCCGTTTCCTGGCTGGAGGTCCCAGGATTCACAGTTGGGAAGCCACCGTTCACCTGCCACGAACACTTCCCAGCACTGCCGTAAGGCGCCCCCTTTGCGTGAGCGCTCCTACCGGTGACTGGGAGATTATTCATGGAGAGAGACCACAGGAGGGACATGGGCCTTTTCAAAGGGATTCACCAGAACCATGGGAACGGGGGCTTTGCAGCATCACTCTCCTGGTGGCAGTCTCAAGCCATGCTCCCCCAAAACCAGGTTCCTACTAAAGGCAGGGAGGGACCTGGGATCCTGCTTCCAAAGCCATTTGCTTCTGCCCCCGAGAGCAGGAAGGCCCAGGTACTCAGAGGTGTTTGCACATCTAAGTTCAATGGGATTTAGGCACCTCGGTACCTTCGAGGATCTGGGCCCAACCGCTGGTCTAAGGAGTGGCGGGAGGGCTCGCAGCCTGTTTGGGAAGGGTTCCCACTACCAGGCACCCCAAGCCTGCGACAGAACCTAGCACCAGCAGAACTATGGGAGAGGCAGGTCCACCGAAAACGATGCAAAGGCCTCACATTTCCCGACTTCAAGCGCTCACTGAGATGCGTGTTGGTATCACAACGAAGATTCCAGTCAGCCTCAGGGCCCTGGAGCATTAGGTACCATCCATGCACAAGCATGTGCGCACGCGCACGCTCATGCACGCACGCACATGCACACACGCTCTCACACGCACACACAGAGTCCCTGTCGTGAGGAGTTTTGTTAAAAAGACAAATTGCGGGGGAAGAGGATACGAGATGTGAGTAAAGAGCCTTTCCCCAAACCCACCTGCAGCGTTTCCTCTGATTCCGGCGGGATTTGGAGGAGTCCCAAAGCGAGAGCAGAGAGCCCGCACGAGTGCAACACCCGCCACCTCGACCCTGCAGAGCTCAGAGCGCCAGCTGCCCCAGCTTGAGCTCCCTCGTAGGGGCCGTCTTGGGCTCCGATCCTCTGCAGCCTGGGCCCAGAGGCAGTAACGTCCTCCCCGGGGGACACCCAGTGTTCCAGACACCCCTTGCAAAGTGCCTGGGGGTTCTTTAGAGGCTTCAGGACAGGACTCCCTGCCAGAGTCCGCCCCAATGACAACCAAGCCCCTGCTCCCTTCTTACCTCTTTGGTTTTCTGCAGGATTTTCTCCAAGAGGATGAGGTAGTTCCCCGCATCTCGGCTCACCAGCTCCTGCAGGCTCCAGCAGTTCAGACACAGCCCAGCTGTCGGACAGAGAAGGGAGAAGCACGTTTCAAAAACACCAGAGACTCCACAGGCAGCCGGGGGGCGCAGACGGGACCCATACCACAGGATGCACGGGGCTAGCTGTGTGTCAGGGAGAACCGGAAACCCGGCGCGGTCGTTCGGTCCTGTCCGACCAGGCTCTTATCCCTCCCTCCCAGACACAGTGGCTGGGCACCTGCCGCTCCCGCGAGAAGTGACGTGACGAACGTCGCCAGGCGCGGGTCGTTTTCTCGCTCCCGCTCTTGCCCAGGGCAGACCTGGGCATGCAGTGGAGGGCAGGGTGTGGGAGTCGTGTGCAGTGCCCTGCGGCTCTGTAGTGACCTCAAAGGAGGCAGGTCAGGGACTGTGCGGCTGGGAGGTTAGGGATGGTCCTTGGTTCCTGGCGGAGTCGGCTCCGCAGTCTGGAACCAGCCCAAGAAATCGCCACGTCCTGCAGAGATGAGCTTTACCCTGGCAGCGGGATTTCCCCCCGGGCCAGAGCAGGGAAGACATCACTGGTCCTCAGCTAGGAGCTTTAGGCTCTTTTAGATGCTCCAGGCGGTGGCCCTGGAGCACCACAGAATCCTAGAGCACTAGGACAGGAAGGGACCTCGGGAGTCAACCAACCCAGCCTCCTGCCCTCATGGCAGGACCAAGCACCGTCTAGATCATCCCTGAGAGGTGTCTGTCCAACCTGATCTGAAATATCCCCAGCGCTGGAGATTCCACAACCCCCCTGGGCAATTTATTCCAGTGTTTCACCACCCTGACAGGCAGGAAGTTTTTCCTAATTTCCAACTTAACCTCCCTTGCTGCAGTTTAAGCCCATTGCTTCTTGTTCTGTCCTTAGAGGCCAAGGAAACAATTTTTCTCCCTCCCCCTTGTGACACCCTTTTAGATACTTGAAAACCGCTCTCATGTCCCCTCTCAGTCTTCTCTTTTCTAAACTAAACAAGCCCGACTCTTTCAGTCTTCTCTAGACCTTTCATCCTTCTTGTCACTCTTCTCTGGGCCTCCTCCAATTTCTCCTCCTCTTTCTTGAAATGTGGTGCCCAGAACTGGCCACAAGACTCCAACTGAGGCCTAATCAATTTGAACCATGATGGACTTGAATTTGGCCCGAGAGCGATGGCATGTAGCCGGTATGCAGGTCATGAGGCAAACAACTCCTACTGCGGGCACCTATGTATTCGATATCCCGCGAGTGCAGGTCTCACCCCCGAATCACCACACAAATCCCCAGCCATGCAGCCAGGAGAGCAGAGACCTTAGCGACAGAAAGCTGAGGACAGAGCCCTCGGACAGAGAACGCCTCTAATACAGGGACACCGCCACGAATCGTAGCCAAGGCGGCTAAATGATCCAGGTCTCGGAAAAGCACCTGACAGACGCCTGGACACAACGTCTGCTCGGGCCTGACGTGGTTTCTGAAGGAGAAGATACAAGAGTCGTGGGAGGCTGAGGCACAGAAGCAAGGGCCTGGTCAGAGGGCGGATAAAGAAGCCTCAGTCCAGACCAAGTGAAACTGCACCACCACTAACATGCATCTCCTGGCCTCGCTGCCCTCACTGGCCTCTCAGAGCCCTACCGCTGCCAATGGCACCAGGCTTCCCAGTTCCTGACTCTCCTGTGCCAACAGCCTATCGGGGGTCACCTCGGCCCCCATCTCCTCCAGGCCGGGCGGTGGAAATGCTCGGTGCTGAGACAGGCCCGGCTCCCCTCCTGCCCCCGACTGAAGAGAGGCGCTCGTTGGCTCGGCTGGGTTCGTATTTCCACACAGCAAAGACGGTTCCAAGGAAAGCGGCGGATGCAGCCAAATCACCGCGGAAGGCCTGGCCAGTGACCCGTTCCACAGCCCCCTCGAGCAAAGCTGCCCGGGGAACAGAAACACCACACACTAGAGCAGCCAGCATGAGCCCTTCAATTGCCAGACCTCCCCACCCTGCTCACATCACCAATCGCAAGTCAGTCGGCTTCGCTCCCTGGGCACTGGCGCTGCCTTACTAGCAGAGCGGAGAACACCCGTGGCATTTCCAAGCGCAGTTACTCTGCAAAGGGGATCGGTCGGGCTCCTTATTTACTGGGTCTCCCGAACTCTGGATCAAATGTGATCAGCTGACATGGAAAAGGCACGTTTCCCTAGCTGCCAGCTCTCCCTGCAGGTCGGAGAATCAAGTCTGGTTCTTTCGGTTTCATGCATCAAGGCCAGGCACATGGACCCAGGTGTGGTGTATTATTACCCTGCTTAAGCTGGGCACCTCCAGCCTGAGAAGGAAAGATGCTGCCTTTGGGACTGAATTAACAACGGTGTAAATAATGTGCCGACCAAACACACTGCAACACCCTCCCCAGTAGCTGCCCTGGCTTTACAGCGTAAATGGCAGGAACACGCAGGCTGGGCTGCAGGACTCTGGCCACAGCGAGAGAACAGGTGTGCAGAAGGAAAGAGCGTCACCATCACCGTTCTAACTACAACCTTTGCAAATCGCTACGATTTTCCAAGCCACCAAAGGGGGCCCAGTTCCTGCTCATTTTAATGTGAAAATTCCAATCCTAACACTCCAGTAGCCTGTTGTTTCAGAACAAGTATAGATGCCCAAACCAAATGCTCATCTAAATGATAGGAGGAGTGTAACTAAGCAGCTTAACAAGCACTGGTGTTAAATAAGGACGCAATCTCTCCCCCTTGTCATTGCCGGGAACTTCCTCATGAGAAACATGGATGAAACAGTACAAGCCGCATGTGAGTTAACTGCATTACACGAAAAGCAGATTTTGCTTGCAACACAGTTCTTTTCTCAATGGCACCTCAACCAACACGTAAGCAAAGGCCGCCCAGCAGCGCAAAAAAGCTGGATTTAAAAAAATCAGCCACAAAACCACAGATCTAATGAGACCCCCCTTAACTCCCAGCTGATGGGTTACTGTAGAAGGCAGGGGAATGTAAGAGTTCACATGCTTTGGCAGCACCAGGCAAGCCAGTGGGGACATCCAGGAAGAAGTATCATCACAACCTGGCAATTCACCAGTTCAAACAAGATTTGGTCATCAAAAATCGACCTATAACTTAAAGCTGAAAGTACAAATCTTCAACTCAAACAGCACAGCCCCCTGCACGTACGGCCGAGCAAGCTAGAAATCCTTCCCACGGGACCGACAGCTCAGTGCCTGAGACAGCAAAGGCCTCAGGTATTGCCACCAATAGTAGTCGGGATTGATAACAAATGTCGAGATCCGTCTGCGTGTTCAAGCACCCGATTGCTCAAGTGGCCCAGAAAAGAAGGAAATAGCTTCTGTTAAGAATGAAGCCAGAGCACCTGCCACTGGGTAGGGAACATGCAAAACAGGCCGAGAGAATCTCTGGGATGGACAGAGAGGAAAAACTTCAGGGACTTACAATCCCTGGGGACAAGTGGAGTCTAGCTCGGGGGTGGCGGGTTACGCCCTATGTGACTGCACAAGCAGGTTAGATTGGCACGCTGGGCGTAACTGAACTCTGCCCAGCTAGCTGCCAATGAAGTTACAGTCCAAGTCCTATGCAGCACATTCGGTCTATAATATTTTCCAATAGGGACCTATGGGGCAGGAACCCCTGAATTACGCTGGGGCTTGTTCCACTAAGCCCTCTCCTCCTTACAGCTTCGCTAAGTCCCCAACCCTCTTTCCCCCTCAATATTCATTTCTTTTGCAATTCAGATTCAGCTAGACATTGCCTCCGCGGCTGCAGATGTTTGCACAGAATGCACTGGGCTGCTCTGTAGGTCGCTGGGTTGCGGGGGCAGGGGTTGGAAGTTTTTGGCACTGGAGAGGCAGGGGGGGGTTCCCTTTCCCTCCCCTTTTTTGTTAAAAATCTGGAGGAGGGAGGGTCTGAATTCATTGTTGGCCCCCCCCAACAAAGCTGAATAGCAACTCACCAGCCCATTGTTCCCCACTGCAATATCTGCTGCCACTTCCCACAACTGACAGAGGAATAGAATAGCTTGGCCTTTCTAATAAAACAATAAGCCATGAAATACTTGACATGCCGACAGATCTCATTAGCCTTCAGAGTTAACAGCGGCTACACACACTGAATGAACGAAGGAATGAATGAATGGGCTGATTCTGGAAGTGAGTTGTTCTGCATATCCAGTGAGGAAGACAATTATGCATTAACTAATGTGGCTACACAATCATGTACTTTCATACAGTGTCCCCGTTTTGCTTATGTCAAATGCAGTGACTGCATGAGCCAGACAAGTTTGTCCTGCTTTTGGAAACAAATTCCATGTGGTAAATAAGACGACAGCTCAGACTGCTGATTGCAGGGAGGCTGCTGTGTCGTTTGGGCAGGCAGGACACCACGTTGTGAAGAAAGGCCCAAGACTTAGCAGGGGAAGGAAAAAGCCTTTTTGCCAAACCCCAACTTCCCGACCAGCTCCACTTTATTTCCACCTGCTTTGATCTGACCGAGAGCGTGGCAGCAGGTGCAGCTTCTGATCCACGAGGTGACTGGCAAATAAAACCCAAGCAGCTGCCTTATTCAGTGATCACAGAGTCAGGCAAGGGCTCTGCAGAAATCAACGCCTGGCGTTTTACGGCTAAACTCGTGTAACCCAGCCTGTGGTAGGGACTGCCTTCTGCCTGGTTTTGTACAACACAGAGCTCTTCCTGCGGCAGTGCCAGACTCTGATCAGGGGACTCGGGAGGCCTGGCCAGCAACTCACGAGTTAACCCAGCAGCGTTACACGTTTTCATTCCACAGGCCTCGGACCGGCCAATGGGAGGTGACGGACGCACTTCCCGAGCTGCACTGCAAGTCACTGCCAGCCAATCTGCCCCACAAGCGGGGTTTCCCTCGGGCAACATCAGCCCGGACGGCAGAGCTGTCCTGGGAAAGTCCCGCAACACAAGAGAAAACCTGGGGGGAACCTGGTGATGGGGCAAAGCGGGAGGGATGCTGGATGAGGAGACAGCTCAGCTGGACTGATTTAGGCAGAGGGGATCAGGCAGTGTTGCC